GATAATTATCACATTTATAAACACAAAATTCAAAGGAAGAATGTTCTGTTTGTAAATGATGATATGAATATTTATATATAAAAAAAGTTATCCGTAACTAATGATATGTTCAAATTTTATATATGACCGCTTGAATTTAATGTTATAATGACGGGACTAAATCGGTACTTGCACTAGTAAAATGGGTCAGACTTACACTTGACCTTTGAAATTCTTAGTGATGAAGCGCTAATCTTTGAGAAATGGAGTAACAAGTAGCTAAGAACAACAGTTTTAATGTTATTAAACATAGGTACTTTACTACACAATTTTATTTTATTTTTACCAGACTGATGCCCACAATCTCAGTAATATTTTTATATTATAGCCGCCTTTGTACATTCGTATGTTATATTGTATCTTTATAATACTTTCTTTGCTCTCTCCTCTACTCGATTTACGAGACGCCGTCTAACAAAAAGGGATAACAAAAGAAAAAAATAAAGAAGGACGTTAATACGTTTCGCTATGATTCACATCTATATTTTTGAATTAAACCTCGCTTATTACTATACACATGATTATCAAATGAATGCTCCATTCTGTGTTTTGATATGTAATCTGTAGTTTCTTTTATGTTCATTCCATGTACGAATATACTTTTATATGCCAGTAAAGGACAACATTAAGATATGCGAAATAAGTCTGTTATATATGTGTATGCGAAATATGTAGTCTTTCGCCCAGTTATTGGACTTGTTACATGTAGGATGTGAAATTTATCACTAATAATAAACGACTACGATTGACGTGGGGAGTAGTTAACTTGCCTCTTGCGCCAGAGGGTGTGGGTTCGATCCCCACTACTGCAAAACTCAGTTTTATAGAACCCATAGTACTAAATAAAAAAAGCAAAAACAAGCAGACTGAGAAAGAGGAGGACTATTGTTGTCATTTAGCACCATCCAGCGATAAATATAATTTAAAAGCAACGGATAGTGCCGCCATCACCCTCCATTATCAAAATTTATTAAGTAAACGTGTTAGGTTAATGGAATCACTCCGACTACCTCCTGGTTTTGCGACGACGTGTCAAGACTTCTCAACGTTAGAAAGTTTAGATTAAACCCATTAGCGGACTTGAAATTGATTGTGGTCTTTACTGAACTAAAATCCCTTACATGCAGGGTTATTTAAAATTGATGCGGTTGTTAGTTTCTAAGCAATAAACACGTGTATGTCTTACAATACGGTTTGTTTAGATATTCCATTTGCTTTAGTATTTGTATTTTCCGACGTTTCCAAAACTATACAGTGTCAGACTTCGCTACGAAACGTAACGAACCCTGGGCTAGAGAGATACTTTAAATGAATTACATTATTGTATTTATAAATAAGTAAATAACACGGATAATATTACCGGAAACATTGATTGCAATGAATTGGAGCTGGCTATAAGCCGATGGAGCTTCAAGCAAACAAACATTACAAAATGAATTTGAACTTGACAGACAATTGTATCGAGTTTTAGCTTATATAATATAACGTTTGTGGTCTTCGACATCCCCGTATATTGTTCCCGAAATGGGACTAATTCCCTAGGAACTTTACGCGTCACGACCTAGCGACCTCCAAGAGCATTCATGGCGGCACCGATGCAAGTTTAAATGAAAATAGTTCGCCTCACTATGTTACCTACCTATGTACTACTCGGTTTTGAAAAAGACATCGACACAACAGATTTCACAGCTACTAGAACTGAAATAGTGTCACTTGGTTATAATTATTTTCAATTAAAATACCGTGATTTTATTACGACCTTATGTTAATGGCAGAAATATTGTGAAAACTTTACATAGTCATTACTGAACGTCTTAAATAGAGGATAATACGTAATTGGGTTTTCTCTGGCTTATTTCTTTTTAACCGACTTAAAAAGGAGGAGGTTCTCAATTCGACTGTATTTTTTTATGTTTGTTACCTCAGAACTTTTAACTGAGTGAACAGATTTTGATGATTCTTTTTTTATTTGAAAGCTGGCACTTCCCATGTATATTAATTTCATTGGCATTGGATCTTTGGCTCCGGAGATACTTAGGGAACTCCTCAAAATCAATTATAAAATGAACACAGAGCGAAATATTTTAAGTCGGTTTTGTTTTTGTTAGTAAAACATGGTTATTGATATGAAAACTTCTATTGGCACGTTGAGCAATTTTTGGATGGGGATAAATTCATAGGTTCTTGTCAGCGACCTGGTAATGTCTGGTTTTGTGTCATAGACGTTGGCGACGAATTTGATATCATTTCGTTTTCTAATATATGATCTCTGTACAACTAATTTCTAGTGCGATAGTTTTTTTTTTTTAGATTTAATAAAATATTTATAACTCGTAAATATTGTTTATTGGTTTAATATTGTCAGTAATAAAATGTGATTTGGATTATTCCTATTATAATTAATTAAAAAATAAAAGTAAAAATTCTCTGATATTCGAGTTTTCACTTATGTCGGCAGTTCCCATTACCGTTTATTTTTTTCTTATGTGACGCATGTGTTGTCATAGTGTATATGTATACATTACAGTGTACATTCGGGCTTATTCCTCTAGTCAACTCCATGTCACAGCTTATTACTTTTTATAACGAATAACTGCTGTAGCTTCTTTTACAGTCCGGGCGAATATACCTCAACGTCGGATATTAAATGGATTTTCCTGAAGTTGATTCAATTTGTATGATCCATGGTATAATGTTTCGACTTATTATATACTTGACTATACACCTTTCATTAATGAGAGAAAATGTCAACCTATAGAAATGATGATATAGGCCATTCTGTTCTTCTTAGTTTGTAAAAATCCATACTCTAAAAGTGAACATTTATGAAAATTTACATTTACACAATATATGTTTTTTTTTTTCTATTTAAGAATAACATTCTAAAAGTGCTTATGCCTACAAATTGTAACTTGAAAATTAAAAATAAAACTATGAGATCAAAGAAATTACCTAGAGGCAAAACTTTAAATACGAGGTAAGACCCGGTTATATTATTCCAACAAATCTTCCCTACCTTTCTAGAATTCTCATAATGACATTTTTATACCGTTCTTTTACCGGCCATGGGCGTGATGAGCTTCATTAGCTTCCTAATATACATTTTGAGCTTTTTAAAGCGTCGGAAAATTCAGGCACATTGAATCACATTTTCGCGTTTTGTGTCATTATTAAGATAACCATAAATACAGGGTGGCTTTTCTTAAGGTACCTACATTCACACAGGAGGTTCAGACTCGGTAGTATAATCGTTTATTGAAATAAAAACAAACTTTCTTTTTCAAAAAAAATTGCAATTCTGTTCCCTAAAAAACATAACTTTTTAACAACGCCGTAGTCATTCAAAAATGCGTCGTATACTTTTGAAACGCACTTGTGTGCGTGTTAGTTATGAATGATCGCGCGTAAAATAAATGAGTGGCCCATAAATCACGCACTTTTTGAGATAAGTTCAAATAATGTAATTAATTAATTAAGAGTGATTTTAAATATTTATCATTTTTATATAACATTATTTATGTCTGGAATTTAATAAAAAAAAGGATACACTTAGAAAAGCCTCTCTGTATAGTTCCTAAAATCGGTTTCATTTTTTTATTGAAAAAAAAAATCACTTTCATTTCGAATGCTACTCGTACATGTCATTTATCCATTGTCATAACTATTTAATTGGCATAATAGTCTAGCAAACATTATAAAAGAAAAGATGTGATGTTCTAAAGAAGTATTTATTGCATTATATATATGCATTATCCAGGCCAATAAGTCAACAGAAATGATAACACAACTTCACATTTCAAATAAACTAAACTTAGTTTAAAAAAACTAAACGTATTTAACAAAATTCAAAAGTGAGATGTTCAAATCTCGTATCACGATTATGTGACAAGGATACAGATACATAAAGTGGAATTTGCACTGTTGGTTTCTATTAAAACATCCTTGCCTTCTGGACGTGAAACAAACTTAATTTGAACTATGAAAGTGTAAGTCAGTACTTTGTCCCAGAGCAATATACAGTTAGGTATCTATAGAACAACAACTACATGGATCCGACATTCTCCTTGGAACGAAAATAATCTAATTTTACGTCTTTCGATTCCCTGGCGTAAATAATCTCCGGCAATTGTATAATTGTTTAAGATAACATTGAAATGCTTCTTTTCATAACTTGTGAATTTATAAATATAATTTTCTAATGTACTAGCTGTTGCCTACTTGAAATGAGAAAATTCAAAAATCCTTAGCCTCGACATTATTTATTTATGATGAGTAATTCATATTCCAATTTTGAAATTCCCCACTTCACCATTATTCTTACACAATGTTCATGCATCCCCCTTAGGAAATTTTTTAATATCAAAAATTTTAAAAACATTTATTTATGTAGCCGTTATTCATGCTTTTAAATTCAAAACTTAGACTTAAATAATTTCCCAAATTTTAGCTTTCTAGACTTACTAGTAGTTATGAGTTTTATAAGTATCTAGAGTTTTATCAATATCTATATGTGCGATTAATGATATGTAATAAGCATTGAAATATAATATATTCTCAATGACATACAGAAGAATTACAGAACATAACCTCTTATCTTAATAATTCTCTTTTTGGGCGAGTTTACCTATAAAGAACAAAATTGCATTGTTCTATTTTTATGTAGTATCCTTAAAATATTTCAAGCAATTAATAACAAAATTTCCAGCTAGTCCAAATTATTTGAATTCCTACTGCAGAGCATAAAGCGTTTGCGATTCCGTTCGTAACTTGAAAGTATCTCTCAATGGCAGCTATCATAATAGGGAATTTGAAGGAAACGGAGGATAACATTTTAATTCGTCTTAATAACGACCAAATTGCCGGAGTTTTCTCTTTTTAAAACTCGAGATCGTCGCTACGTTCGGTGTCTGATTTGAGTAGGTACAATAAACTAAATTACTGCGAGAACAACGGAGGCAGCAATGATATTTCGACGAAGAGGAAAAAACAAGAGGGTCGTTCGGGGATCCGGCGGGATTCTCACCCCCCCCCCCCCCCCCCCCCCCCCCGCCCCCAAACCCCCCGCATCCTCCTCGTCTCACGGCCGTCCGCACCGCGGGAAAGTGGATAAGTAGAAAGTACACGGGAAACGCTCAGGATACTAGTATTACGCGCTATTTACACTGTCTTTTTTTTTGTCTGCAACACAGAAAAGGCCGGATTCTTGTTTGCGTTTCCTGCCTTTATTTCACGGAAGCTTTGTCCTCGTGTCCGTAATACGCTCATAATTAATTGAAGAGCGTTGGTAGGAAATTCTCGCATTATTTTTAATGCGTCACCTACGAGGCTAAATGAATAAAGGTTACGCAATCGGGTAATCTTCAAACAGATTCGCATTTCAATAATGATAATTCATTAACCCATATTTTATAAAGTACCATTTTTTATTTTAAGTTCATTTGCAAAGGACTCTTTACATGGGGTATTAGGGCAAAGTCCACCACGCGACGACACTGCGGATTGGTGGACTTACATATTTTCGAAATATTTTTTTTTGTATTGCTATTTCGAATTTCCTAACGATTTTTGCCTTCACCGCTAACCACGTGATATGTCAGCACTTAAAATTTACAATTACATTGGTGCTGGCACCGGGATTTGAACTCGGGTTGCTCGAGTATGTTGAATTAAAAGCAAACGCCCAGACACTGAGCTATCACGGCTCCTAGTTGTTTTAGTAAAGGAAAAATGTTTTCGTGAATCTGTTGAGGTAATTGGAGTCTTTTCTTTTACAAACGCTTAATTAACTTTACGATTGGCTCTACTAAAAGTCCGGAGATTTATATTTTATTTTCTAAGATTCTCTAAAAAGCAATGAAATATCTTTTTTGTTTAAATAATTAATAAAAGTTTTCTTACATTGATTTGCATATTGTTGCTGGAGAAAAAGCTCACATATTTTACGTTTTAAATAAAATCCACCGAATTACGCCACACGCCTCCATATCTTTTTCCCTAACTCCAGAGGACCGAAATGCAAATGTGCCTGAAACAAAATCTACCACTACGAGAGAAATGTATTCGTGAATCATGAAAATTTATTAGTATATTTTACTAAAATTTGCGACACAAAATTCACTTTGTGTAATTTGTTTTTTCGACAAAATGTTATAATATATTTTTATCTAACATTTGATACCGCTTTGTAAACTCACATTTGACATTTATGACTCCTGTTTGATTCTTTAGACATGAGAAATTTCCACGCGAATAAAGTTGGTATAAAACTTATTCGTTCGTGTAACATGTCCAATAAATTTAATACAAAATAAATAATGATAGGTTTATTTTATTCAAAGTTCTCCAAATTATAATGTCTTTTTTCATTCTAATCTTGCATAGCTGTTAACAATACCCTAGTTAATACTTGGAAAGGAAGACTTCATATTGAACAGATTTTTTATTTCCAACGCCTCGAAATTTTTACAGCGTCACGGGACAGATATGGTTGCATTATGCCGCCCTAATGTCAAAGTGAATCTTCAACTTTTTAAAACAACCCTTTGTTTCTATCGGATGTTAAGACTACCTTAGAATCCTTTAATTTACAAAAACTAATCCAAGTACCTACATCAAACTGTAAGACTTCAAGATACTAATAAAGTACAAAAAATAAGCTCATTCTGCGTTAATCAAACAAATGTTAGCTATACTTTGTTTTATCGAGTTAAGAAGGTAGAAATATAAATACTTTTACCAAATCACCGTAGTTTTACTTTGCACAACAAAAACACTGTTATTATCACTTATTTCCACTTTTAGACTAAACTCTAACGAATTAATTTGTGATACCGATTGGGCAGCACTATCGCGTACACTACTTGAAGACAGAAAAAGACGACAACCACGAAGACGAAGACCATGAAATGCTTCTTGCAGCTTCATTTATGCCTCACAGAATGACATTTCTTTTAGTGCTGCCAACAACCTCAAGGAATAACTTCCTTTAGTGTTGCCAACACAAAAGAAAATATCCGTTACTTTTAAATACAATACAATTTATTTAAAAAATTGTTGTACTCGCGTAATTACAATTTTTTAAGGTGGTAATGCCACGCAGCAGCCTCGGCTGTTGCACGAATGGGCAGGCCCGTCCGGTTAAGTACCACGACCTCACAGAAGACCAGCGTAAAGTGGAAGTATGACAAATACTTTGTTTCGTCTGGTGAGTGAGGTAGCCGGAGCCCAATTTTAAAAAGGTTGTCAACGCTTCTGTAACCCTCGAATTTGGCAGATGTCCATGGGCGGCGGTATTCACTTAACGTCAGGTGAACCGTCTGCTCGTTTGACAACTTTTCACATAAAAAAAAATACAAGAAATAATTAAGCCACACATGTGTCCTTTATTTCACTTATTTCGATTTCAAAGGAATTTGCCCTTTTAATAAAACCAAGCAACAAAAATAAAAACTATCCCTTAACAAAGAATACCCGCAAATGGATTAAATGAATGAAAAATGTCGATACAACCACCATAAAAGTGTAAAAAGCTGATATGTTTCTGTATGGCTTAACATTTACACGTTTAATTTTGAAACAGAATTCAATTAGACTTTTATCAAATTTTGTTGCTATAGAACAAAGCATATCGATTAAAGACTGAATTTTTAGATGTGCCAACTGAGTTAAATCAAATTCAAACTGGTTCTGTTATAGTTCAAGCTGCATTCTACACACTTTTATATTGTTTTTCTTTTATTGTAACTGGCTTAAACTACTGGATTAATGTGAGTTGTGAACAGTTCCTTGTTGCAGGAATTTCACAGTGGAAAACACATTTGCATATTCTCTTCAGTATAAAAAGTTCCATCTTTACACGTGCTCAGCGGACCAATTAAATTACTGGAACGTTTGCAAAAATGTTTCGCTTTGAATGTAAAACAAAAAAATACCCTCTCTCTGCGACTTTCTTCAGTCAGTTCATAATAAATGGTGATCAGAGGGTCATACGCACTTAAACTCACTTAATTGTTCAAGACGGGCATTGGTGAAAGTTGGCCAAGCCTTCGGCACTGACTCATACTTGAACAAACAATATTCACATGTAAATTAGGACGGTTTTACAGCACGAGTTCGAGTGTTTTCTCTTCGTTTTCAAGACCCACCCGTTTTCTAATTAGTGAGGTAACAGTTGGACGTTAAACGGAATCGGAGCCAGTGCATTCGAAATACGCCACGATTCAATTATCATTTGACAACGCAACGCAACGCGCAACGTCGTGTATTCGTTCCAAATTAGCTTCCTCGTTCGGACGGTTCGGCCAGTTCTTCGATCGATGGCAATGTTTTGACGGGATTCCGGTGGAGACCGGGCCCCGACGCGATGCGCCGAGAGGAAAGCGCACTCCCTCCCCCCCGCCGCGCCCCCGCCCCCGCACCACCGTGTTGTGTTTCGTACCTGCGCGTGCGCCGCGATGCGCACCTCCGCCTCTCCTCGCCGCGGAAACGGGCAGGTAGAGCCGCCAGCGCGCCTCTCGCGCCCCGCCTCGCCCGCTCAGTGTGCGCGCTTGCTCGCCGCCGGTGGTAGTGTGCGCAGTGCGCGGACGCACGCGCCCCGAACGAGATGCGCCGAGCGTCGCGACTGTGAAGTGCCCACCGCCAGTGTGGACCGCCCGACGTACGACATGTCCTGCGAAAGGAGAACAAAGGCCGCGCGTTTCCTCGATCTGCGGTGAGTCCGCCGTGCGGCGTCCCGTCGCCGTACCGACACCCCCGATCCTTTGTTGGGTCCTCGCCTCGGGTGACGTGCGCCCCGTCCCTCTCCCACGTACCTGCCGAGCGAACAGATGCTCGCAGTGTTTGTGCCTCGGCTTGTCCTGTGTTGCGTTTTTCTACGCTCGTCTTGTAGGAATTGTTTACGATAGCTTTGATCCGTAAAAACGCTCCGGGAAACTATACAAAGTGTTCGTCGGCGTCGATGCGGGAATATAACGTCGTTTACAATAATGTTTCAAGTACAAAACCATTAGTTGCGACCTTGATGAATCGTAAGTTACAAAATCACTGACCCCAAGCACACGTAATAATGCTATATGATGGTCACGATTTTCGTTACGATTTTTAAAAGCTTTTTTTGAATGCTTTTATTTTTAATGTTATTATAGAAAGTTAAAAAAAATACTTTCAAAAATCTCGAATCCGCTCTTAGACAAGGCCCCATATCTCTACACGGCTGCGCAAAAGACAATGTCCTGCCGGGTATCGTTGCTCGTATTGTGAAGGACAAGTCAGTGCCCTCGGCGGGCTGTGTCGGCTACGATGCTGGTGAATGCCTGCGCCCTGGTGGAATGCAGGCGGTAGGGCAAGAGTGGCTAATGCGCAGATGTGGGGCGCTCCCCGCCTCGCCCCGCGGCCTTGAAAGGCTCTTGACCAGGCCACCGGCGCCGACGTCGCATTTATTGCAACCTCCGCGATCCGTACCGACGAGGTTATTGACGCCACGCACCGCGACTATTCTCTTTTTTTCCCTCTCATGGAAAAAAGACCACAGATCCCCCACCCCCCCCCCTAAGAAGGCAGCCAACCTTCTCCTTGGTGCGATTCTCACGTCGCTCCTATTCTCAACGAGCGACCACAATGCCCATTACGTCACTGCACGGCTAGTTTCCGCCTTCAAACTTTAGCAGTTAACAATGTGAGTCACGCAACTAACTCGTTTTATAATAAATCCGCGGCGAGCGATAAATTTATCGCTTTAGCTTTATGAACGGAACACGCTTAGGTGCAATGCACTTAGTATGGGTGGAGTTGTGACTGAATGGTCTTGTTAAGTTTCTTTCGTGTTCGCATGTCGATATTGAGAATGGCGATATCTATAAATAGGTAGCTCTCGTCAAGCGAGAACAGCATAGGATCGATGCCCCGTCAGCCCCTCGGTGAAGGCCGATTGTTACAGTTCTTCGCACTTTGCAGTCAATATTCTCATTCATTGCGCATACGACAAATGCGACCAAAGTACGATAAAATATTTTACTCTACAACTGCTCTATAATATGTATTGGATTTTATATTTGAAAAGATCGCCCTAACCAATACTACCAATACCAATACTTATTTAACCGCATAACCTTACCCGGCATCGTGAACTTGCGAAATCGTCTGCTTCCATCGAGAAACTCACATCTCGTGTTCACAAATTAATTACTCCCAATCGCCACTTCGGCCATCGCAGCTAATGACCGGCGGGCGTATGTCGGTCGGTGCAAATTTTCGATTTTACATTCGACCCAGTGGCAGATAAGCTCTCCATGAGCACGCCATATGGCGACGAGGTCCACACTCGACAAAGCGAGCGGCGCCGGGCACATGTCGCCGCTTTCACTCCCCACATCACAATCCGTGTTACGTAGCTTTGCGCGTACACTGAAATAAATTAGGACGATTCTCTCGTTCGCCCTTTGTATATTCATCGCTTCGGGCGCGCATTACCATAATGCCACACGCCGGTTTTTTAACACGGCAGAAACGCAATTGTTCAAATTAACTTTTGTACGTAGTACATCGTAGGAATCCTCGTTCGACCGGTCTGTTCGGTTGTTTTGTTGCTTGTTTATAAATAGTTGCGTGTTGAGAGTAATAACAATAATGAGATGCATGTTGAGCGTTCTTCGGTGTCATTGCGTTAAATAAAACATTTGGCTCGTCATTTGTTTATGCCTACCCCTAAACAAATTACCACAAAAGCCGTTATTAAAAAAACCACAAACATACTACGGTATTTATTTCCAATTCCAATAGCTTCAAGATAACTGCACTCAATAACAGTAGAGCAATAGCTCTTATATAGCGATATTGATTTTCTACGGTGCAGTGTTTCTTTAAGATTCTTCATAACTATTACGCTAGCTAACATAAAATTGCCGGGAATAAAATGAAAAAAAGAGAATTATAAAATTAAAAATTCCGTGTGTTTATTATAAATAGCGAGCGGATGAGATGTATGCGGCACCACGCGCCGCTTTCCAGTGAAGGGTGGTTTTTGTGACAGCAGCTGGTTTACCCCCACGGGTGACTAACGTCCTGTATCAGTGCCCCAGCGTGGGTCGGGGTGCGTGTCATTGACCCCACTCGCAGCCCCATGCACGGTACGCTCCGCACAATTTATCCTTTGCCCTTCGTGCCGGTCCATTATACGTGGGTTTTTGTACGTACGATTTCTCAACCCCGCAATCGCCGCATGCACCACTGCCGTCCACTTTGTACGGACTACGTTAAATATGTATTATTTTATTCAATATGTCATTTTCGTAAAGGCACGTCTCTAAAGACAAAGCATATCGAACATTGAGCATGTAACTTAAGAATGACAACGGAACTAAAGGTCCGACAAAAAGCATAGTATTCAGATGGCTCTTTAGCGTGATGGCGTTCATTTCAAACGATACATCTTTTTATTCAAATATTAAATTGTAATATTGTAAAGACCGATTTGATTTCAATACTAAGAAAATATGACAATGATGGCGCCTTATTATAAATGCTTTTAGATGTAACATCTAACGGTTGATCGGTGTTATTTGTTTAATTATTGTTACATTTATTTTTATATTATTGTCCTATTTAGTTTTTTCTTTAATATACCGACTTTGTACACTAAGATAATATGTAAGAGAATAATTATCTTTGCGTTAATAAAATCAGATAAGGGGTCTGTTTGCCGAAACGAATCTATTATACTCTGACTAACAACACAAATTGACAACGTGTAAAGAATAAATAATTTATTTCGCAGTCTACAAATGATTTCTTCCTCTCTCGCGGTTTGGTTTATCGACTTTTTTGCAAACAATATAAAACATAACATTGCGCGCACTCGTGAGAACAAAAAGGGGATACATTTATCATGTAAACAGCTAGACGTGGATTTCTCGTCATCTCTAAATTTCACGAGGCGTTTTTTTATTTTATTGTACGCCATACCGATTCTTGCTTGAAGATCTCGACAATTTGCTAATGGCATAGAAAATTCGCAGCTGTGTGCTAAAGTCTAGTCAGTCGACCCGTCCTATCTACTTGCCTACATAAATTTGAAAACAAAAAACTCGGTCCAGTCATTAATATTACTCTAAAACGCTCAACAGAAATGTTTTTCCAAAGATTGTTTCTCGTTATTTGTTGTCAAGTTAAATTATAATTATACACTTTTTTAGCTTTGTAATAAAAAAACGAACCATATTTCATATACATAAAACAAATATTTACATAAGAGTAAAAATTATATTAACTGAACAAATTTACAGATAAAAATCAACAATTGTTTTATTTGGGACTGTTAAAGTTTAACTTGTTTAATAAATTTATACGGCGGTCTATCGGAATATTTGGTGAATCGTTGAAAGTTATAGCAGTTATAAATCGTTATGACATATTACAATATCATATCCGAAGCGAACAGAGGGAGAAATGAGCGGGTATTTCATACAAAGAAATGAGATTATTCATCTACACACACATTCCTTTAAAGCGGGCAGCGTTTCGAAGCGCAAGGATGGATAGTGTGTTTTAGCTCGTGGTCGGTGCCCGTCAGCTAATCCGTGCCGTCGTACCGGTTTCGAGCGGCCGAGGAAAAACAAATGAAACAATTGCTTCGTTTTCTTTTTGCGGCACCCCCCTACCGCTGGCCGCTGGCCGCTGGCGATCGTCGCCCGAGGATTCTTTGGCTTTCGCGTCGAAAATTCGGCTGCACTTCGTGTCGCGGTGATATTCAACTCTCACACGCGCGCGCACACGTTGCGCTCAATTAAGACGGTACGGTACAAAGGTGACGTCGCGCGAAATTGTTGCCGTGTAAGAACGCTACACGTCCCAGATGCTGCACAGTGTCTGTAAATTTAGGACGCCTTATATTTTGATTATCCTTCTGTTTCGTTTTTACTTGTCTGGATTATTTTCCTTGTTTCGTTCATTTAACTCACGTTAACTTTGCTATCATGACGAGGAATTACATTAAAGCATTCGATTGATATTTTATTTTCATATATATATATAAATGAGGAAAATTGCAAATAATTCAATGTGCCAAAAACGATTTACATTTTTGCATCGTAATGAAATCGTTCGCCCGTAATCAAATTTCGAAAATTAAGTTCTCTCGCCGGTGTATTTACCGAACGTTTTCCTACAATTTGCACCTACAATTTCTCCTCATTATAAGTTCGTCGCATTCTTCCCCAATTGCAAGAGCTTGTACCTAATTTCAATCTTGTATCAAGGATCAAATATTTGCCATAATATCTCACCAACCACGTTTTCCTATTAAACGACCCTCTTATAAATTGATCGGCGATCGTTTAACAATTTCATTAACGTCCACTAGAAACACAGTAAACGTTAATTATATCAAACTTTGTAATTCGATTACAGCGAAGACGGACACCTCCTCTTACGGTGATTAATTTTATCGATAAATATTTTCCTCAACGGAAAGAAACCATTTGGCAGTATCCGGCCGCTGGGATTGGGGCCTTACTTGCTGTGTAACATGAACACATGAACCTCGCAACTTGCTTGTTTAATTTAACTTAATTTTCACATAACACTAGTTTATACCCTAAAAGATTATTGATAAATGAACCCAAATGTTAATAGTCTGATTAACCGTTGTTAACAATAAATGATGTGATCGTTTAAATATTTACGTTTTGAAAATTTAATCTTTAAACGTAAGCTCATAAATCCTTGTAAAAATGTACACATAAAAACTAAGCGATACTTGTACTATTCAGTAGCAACGTTGTATTTTATTTTTAATTACAAAGTATTCATCAGACTTCAAAAAGGTACTCTCACAATCTTACCTCATTGCATTATTGCTACACTGAAGAGAAGTCAAGTGCGCCTCATTACATTGCGTTTGTATTCTTGTGAATACTTAATTCATAATTCACGTTTATAAATTTACAGTGCAGAATGTTTGTGTGAAGCTTTCTCCACGGGGGCACTGGTGAAAAAAAGCGTTCTCACTTGAGAGCTTTAGGGCTTTCTGATCTTCGCTTGTACGAAAGTGTCCAGTCTCATCGTCGCCACAAGTCACGTATTGCTGACGCGGTTTTCAGTAAACGTCGCTTCCGACACTGCACTAAGAACTTTCAATGTGAAATCACCATCGGAAATCATTTCCATCCAGCGTAAACGGCTTAAAGTTATGTAAAACATTCGCTACATTAGAATAATAACGAGACTTTTGCAGTTTGTGTTAAATAATATTCCAACGTTTATAATTAAGTTATGAACAATGGTGCGTACGTGTGCGTGCGCATTTAAATTTGAAGAATAGTTTCCGTGATAGAATCTGCCGGTGTCGTAGCACATTACGAAGGCTGACGTCTGAGGTACGAGTGCATGAATAATTCAGATCGGCGGCACCCTTCGTCGGCTCGTCCGAGACGCGCCCTTCGCCGCGAGACGCAGGTATTTCAGAATGGCCCGCGAAATTACGTCCCCCCTCCTCAGCCAGCGGGCACCTTGTATGACACCTCACCCCCGAAAACGTTTATCTGATTTATCGATGCCATATTACCTCGCCAAATTTACGATACAATATTGAGACTCGGCCTAAATAATTACGCCTCCCTCAACTGAAACGATGTAGGTACGTGTTCTTAGGATAAAAAGTCCGCATAGAATTGCGCTCGCTCACTATGTATTTGCCGGCACATAAAATCAACGGAATATCCGTCTTCGAGGTAAAATGTCTCCAGCTCAAACAGCGCCGCCTGTTTATACACACCACTCTAAAAGCTTTCCTTCGGAGTTTTATTTATGTACCGAAACCGTTTTTAAACTTTAAGTGGTAATACAAAAAGCAGAGTGAAATACGTGATACTTTGAACACTTGCGCAAGTTTAAAAACGAAGACTCAACGGAGTTTCGACTCTTTAAGTTGGATTTTGAGTTGTTCCTCGATTACTGATTAATTTGTCCGTTCTATTCGTGAAAAAAAATTCGACCGTGTCCGCTATACACTTAATGTTCGCGAATTTTGGCAACATTATGAGATCACTGGCAGCAGGTATGCAGTTGACATTTACCGCGTAATGACATCGTTTTTCGCTTACATGCGTCCGCATCGGGGAGAGCGGAATTAAATGCCGTAAAGGCATTAAACGTTTTTTTTTTTTTTTTTACTTTAAATATTTTTGGGTGTCGTTTTCGAACGAATACGAAGATAGATGAGACGGCGTCGACTCCGCGGGTGATATTTTCGTTTATTTCTGTTAGGGTTTTGAATTACGTTACCGTTTTAATGTGCTGAATATGTATGTAAATAAATGTAAGTGACATTTAGTTATTTGTTCCTCATTAGATATACATTAGAGGATGTCTCGAAGAGATATTGCTAAGTTTCTCATTGGACTCCGCAGACGCGGGCTCATTCAGCGGTGCTAAAGGCATTTAAGGCGGAGGGTGCGCTTATCTGTCGGAGGGCGGCGCGGGGGTACATGGCGGGGTGCGCTTTGTTCTCGCCCCGGCCTCTCCTACCACTTAGAAGATTGCTCGGCTTTGTCTTCGCGATATACTTCTTTGTACCTAGCCTCTCGCCTTCAATTTAGGCTTTAGCTTTACACCCGTCTTGATTTCTACCCTCGATTAGGTTCGCGATTTGATTCCTTGTGCGGTTGGCGTGCGATTTTTTTTATTAGAATTTCAGATATTCATTCATAAATAATATTTAAACATGCGCCAAGTAATAGCTCAAAGCCTACGCGTAATATTTTAACGTCATTCAACATTTTACAAATATATTTGATGGTAATAGAAACGACATATCTCAAAGCCTACATACACATCACCCAACCCGGAGGTCGTGTTAAAATCGTTTTTGCCTTCGGCCTGTTGGTATAACCTATTGTGTGCCAATGCTGAGCGAACATTCAATGACCCAGTTTCTCCTTCACTTTGTCGTTGTTTTATTTCCTTGTCCGGTCCAATTTTTAGTGTTGAAGCTGTTATTGCTCCAACACAAACAGAATCGCTCCTACGTATGAACGGTTTTATTATCGTCGATGATTTGAAGCAGATGTGATTTTTGAAGTTTCTGCTCACAGGTTTTACAAGTAGCGGGTCGTGTAAAACTTTAC